TGATTACCCAAGAATGAGGTAAAACATACGACTATTTACAAATAATGTGGTAATGCTAATTCACTATGCCAGAATGTAGTAATCGTTACCCGGAAATGTAATTATAATCCGGTGTCAATAATGTAGTAATGATCTACTAATTATAGAGCAACTGGGTAATAAAAGAAATACTAATTATGGACTAAATTAGTATACTAGAAAAATTTCCCGTAACAACGTATAGTTCTTTTCTGGCATCTGATTGGCTAGAACAAGTGATCGACAAAAATTTTAGCATACAGTACTGTACGTATAGTACTGTACGCGGCACATCACTATATGTGACGTATACTGCATCTTGTTAGATGCGAGTTTTTTCAGCGATTGTTAGATTGAGTATTGTATGTATAGGTGGCTCAGGTGTAAATCAATGGGCTAAGTATAGTAGAAAGTTTATTTTCACATGATAAGGGGTAGTTTCAAGAACACTGAACTCAGTGATATTTTCATGATCATCACATCACATGATTAAGTACTCGGCCTAAGAAGGTAGGATTAGTGTTAGGGTTAGATGATAATTTGTTAGTGCTCGTAAACAAATGACGTCATTATGAGATTACACGTGATGTGATGATCACTGAGTTCAGTGTTTTTGAAGTGCCCCTGTTAAGGGATTCATATTGTCACTATCGCTTGCCTTAGTATAGAGGCTAGCACTGTCATCCCTATCCCCCAATTTTTAGGTAAGACAGGCTCCACGGCTGCAGTCGCAGTGCAAGGACCTGGAGTGGCAAATGTTAGGCTCCACGGCTGTAGAAGCAGTGCAAGGACCTTATTTCCTTGTGTGTAGGCTTCGCGACTGCAGCAGTGCTAGGATTAGGTATCTTCTTTTCTAGGTTCGGTGGCTGCAAGCAGTGCAAGGACCTCATAGACAGAAGTTCGTCTGATTGGCTAATAAATTTAATTTAATTTTACATTATTTATACAGTTTAAAGTATTTTTTAGAAAAAATAAAACTACGAATAATAAACAAAAAAGAAACATATAAAAAGTTTTATTAGGGTTGTAGGACTCCACCATTAAAAATAATATAAATCAATTCTGGTTTTAGAGAAGTTAGCATAATAGCGACTTCTTGAAGATAGAATTAGGTTATTACTATGCTAACTTCTCTAAAACCAGAATTGATTTAGATTATTTTTAATGGTGGAATCCTACAACCCTAATAAAACTTTTAATATGTTTCTTTTTTGTTTATTCTTCGTAGTTTTATTTTTTCTAAAAAATACTTTAAACTGTATAAATAATGTAAAATTAAATTGAATTTATTAGCCAATCAGACGAACTTCTGTCTATGAGCAAGGACCATGTATTTTGATGTTTATGCTCTGCGGCTGCAAGCAGTGCAAGGCCATGTGTTTTCATGTTTAGGCTCTACGGCTGCAGCGGCAGTGCAAAGACCTTTTTTAGCATTCAGTGCCTTCATATTACAAGTACACCAGCAACAGTATTCCGATTCTCGTTGCAGCTATGTAAATAATAGACTGCCTTTGGACGCAGAATTGAGTTGTAATTATAGTAAATTAGTGTTTCCCTCTTTTGAGTTTACGTTATATGGAAGAATGGTTGGATTCCTGTTCATAATATACATATGTGGCCGATGGCTTAATAGTTCCTCTCCATTTTCTGTTATTATATAGGTTAGAGCCAGTTTGTGATAGCAGACCTATTTCCATATGTTTCTTCAACGTTTAGTAGTAATAAAGTCTCTGATTGAGCAATAATAATGTATAGATCGCCGCTCACAGTGATTTCTTAGACAAAAATTCAATACGAATGTGTAACTTGCATAATCTTTGTTAGGCGTAGTTATATTCGCCAAAAATTGTTTCATATAATCGCGCAATCGGACAACAATCAGGTGATTGTATAGTTGATCAAAATAAATAAATCATTTTGCAAATCGCAAGCATAAAGCTATTTACGCACATAATTTAGTATAATTTTAATTGCAAAACAACATTGCTTTTTATTTGAACGATTATTCGTGACAATAATTGTGCATTTAAAGCTTCACGCACGCTTAAAAGTTTTTTTAAGAAATATTATCCAATTCGGATTAGACCTTTAAAAAAAAATTTAGCTCATGTGACAGACAGAATTAAAGTCTCCATCTGGAAGGCTAATCATTGAAATTAAATAAATTTGAACTCGATTAAATTTATTAATGACGATTGGTTTTGACATGAGAAGATTGAAAAATTTTGGTGTGCACAAGTTCAATTCTGTAATGAATGGTTGTGAAACGTAACTATACAATAATGTTCAAAAATTAAATGTCGCGGCTAATGCTGAAATTTAGGGTCCCAATTTAAATCTATAATGCCTACTAAAATTCACATATACATTTTACTAATAACACTAATCCTAACCCTAAACTAACCCTATAAAAAACCCCTAACGAAAAGGCCCAAAAAAATTTAAAATTTTCATAATAAAATAGGTCAAAATTTCAGCATCAGCCGCAACAATAAATTTGTTTTTTATTAAAATGTTTGAATGTAAATTACATGCTACATTCCATGTTTAAAAAAAAGCTCAAATATGTTTCAAAACATCTTATTGTAAACTACAAGTATTGTTGATAAAACATACTAGCAAATTTTATTGTCAATATTCCAAGATTTCGTAAACTAAACGTTTTTTGATCCATGATCTTCAATTTGTACTTTTGAACCTCCCAAAATCGATTCCTCTCAAAATCGATAACCTGTCAAAATCTGATAAAAAGTTATTCTAAAAGTCCGTTTTCGTTATATAACAAATAGTAATAATGTTTTCAAATCTGATAATATTACAACAACTGTTTGTCATTTGTATCAGTTTCTGAGAGGTTCAACAGTATTGTTTTAACCTCACAAAACCGATCCTGTCGAATCAATAACCTGTTAATTAATCTATCAAATCCGTTTTCACTATAAAATCCAATAGTTTGTTATGTTTTAACTCCAATAACCTCTCAATAATAATACAAAGCCTGTTCGCCACGCATACCAGTTTTGAGAGGTTATCTGGCTTTGAATTTAACGTGCTAACCTGGGCCCGAAGGGGCTCAGGTTGTCAAGCACTTTAAATTCAAAGCCGGATACGCTGTTATTGGGATGCGGTGCATTCAATAACGGTATTATTCACCTTATATAATGCATTATGTGATGCAAGGCCGAATTCGCACATCTCTAGATATGATATGAAATCATGTTTGTTGCAATATTATTGGAAAATGGAAACAAATAATTTACAACCGTCATTTTTAAAAGAAGATGCATTTATTATTATAAAGCCTAACTTATCTGATATATTCAAACCTTTTTTTTTTTACATTTAAACGAAGTCTGCTTCCTATTAAGTACACTCTTGACCATATAATTTTACACAATTCAAATAATTGAGATTACAGTTAGACTAGCATTTGTCACGATGAAGGTTTAGTTCCAAGAACTGACAGATTTATAAACTTTCAGTCACATAATAATCAAAAACAATGGAAGATGAAAAATTTTATTGTTATGGCTTTGATGCTTTAAAGAAAGAGATAAGTGATACTGGGTCAAGGAATGTATAAGAAATGATAGGCTGTAATAACCTGCTCGTAACTGATTAACGAGTAAAATCGAACACATCCCTGTGTCAGGGAAATAATCAGGATATCGATGTATGCTAAAGCCAATCATAACCAATCTCTATTTTTGAAATGTAGGACAAACTACTTATTATAATGTAGTGATGGTTACCCCATTACTAAATCGATCATTACTTATTACTTTGCATAACGATAATCATGACGGCCAAATTTTTCGAGCAACTTTCTAATAATTTAAACGAACTTCTTAAAAATAGTGATGAATATACTGTAATGTTATTATTGAAGTTGGTCAAGGGTCTAATATTAAAGCATTTAAAGCACATTCTATCATCTTAAGTTCTCGTTGCTTATATTTTAGAGATAAATTATCTGCTATTGCTTATAATGACAATAACATGAAAATAATAAAGCAAACTAATGTCTCTATTGACGTATTTGAAATTATTATCAAGTAAGAATCAATAAATATATATAATATGTAATATTTAAATTTAAATTTAAAACAAAAGTATTAATAAGTATGTAATATATGTAGATATATTTATAACGGAACCATCTCTTTAGAAACAATTAATGCTTCAGTTATTTTGGAACTTTTAATTGCTTTTAGTGAATTTGGGTTTGAAGAGTTGATTAAGCATACTCAACTATTTCTAATTGAGAAGAATGCATCTTGGTTACGTCTTAACTTTTTTCGTGGTTTTCAAGCTAGTTTTAAGAATAATTTAAAAGATTTGCAACAATTTTATGCAAATATTATTGCTAAGCACCCAAATATTATTTTTGATTCAGATGAATTTCTCAATATTTCAGAAAATATCTTAATATTTATCTTGAATCTCGACAATTTGCAAATGAATGAAGTAAAAATTTGGGATTACGTTATTAAATGGGGAGTTGCACAAAATCCTCTCTACCTTCCAATCTTGATCAATGGTCTGATGAACATTTCTTAGCTTTAAAAAATTCAATTCAAAACTGTCTCCCTTTAATTCGCTACTTTCAAATCTCTGGTGATGAAGTCTATGATAAAGTTCGCCCTTATCGAAAAATTCTTGAACCAACTTTATGGGAAGATATCATGCTAAAATGTATGGCATCTAATAAAGCTATTACTTCACATGTTTTACCTCCTCGCATTAATTTAACAACAACACAACCTTCACGAGATAATGTCATTGATGATAATTGTGCATCAGTAATTGAATCAAATAAGGCTATTGTAGGTAAATAAAAAAAAAATCACAAATCATTAGATATTGAACTGAATAATACGTTTGCGCTAAAAAATAATGTAATTATTATTTAGAGTTAACGTTTTGTGTCGCTCTATGTTGTTATATTTATATTCATAATTGTCAACTATTGTAAATAATATATGCCAGATCTTGGTTATGAAAATGAATATTTCCTATATTTATCTACTAAGGTAATTACGTGAGGATTAGTAATAAATTCTCATTGTCTTACATTATACATAGCGGATTATATTTTTACTAATCTTCAACATTAGATCGTGACTCCAGGTACCTTCACACATCATCAAGGATATGATATAGCTATTTTTGATGATCGACAATATCCGCTATCTGATGTTCCACGGTTTAAAGTTTTGAAAAGTGAACTATATGGGAATTTCAAAGTTGTGATCGCTAAACACTTTGGGTTTCTAGCTGAACAAATAAAATTTTGGGTTCTTATAAGTCGCCATAATAAGACTGTTAGGCCAACGTTTCTAATAACGGACGATTTTTTTGCCATTAGTAAGTTATTTGTAAAGAACTTCCATTTATTTCGTAATAAACCTCTATCAATATTATTTGTTTTGGAATAATTTTTGTGATGAATAGCAATGGAAGAAATTCACACAAAAATGGCCGCAAGAGAAAAAGAATTGTATTTGTTTCTTGAAGTATCGTATAAACCGTTTAACGACAAAGTAGTGCTTAGTATTTATAAATTTATTATATATCTTTTTAGACATGTATTTATATTTTCTCATTATTTTAATTGCTATTTATTTAATACATAGGCATGGTTCCCACCTCCACAAACAGGGATGAGTTCTCTTGTAATAGTTTTCATCAAGTACTTTAATCCTGATATACAATCTTTGAAGTATGTGATTTAAATTTGTTCTATTAATTTATTTGAAATGAAAATTAATCTTTACGCTTATATAAACAGAGGAATTTGTCATTTATATGTTCGAACGTCTGATAAAGTTGGTGATATTATTCCGATTCTTTGCGAGAAAAAGAAATTCCCACCACACACACCCTTGAAAGTATACGAAGTAAGATTTTATTTTTTCATGTATATTTTGTTGTTGTTCTGTTAGTCACAACTGCCCATTGATTTTAATAAAATAAAGGAAATAAGACCAGGCATGATCGATAAGATGGACCCAAAATTGACTTTTCAACAATCTGAGATACAAGATGGTGATATAATCTGCTTCCAGAAAGCTTTAACAGAAAACGAGTAAATCATTTATTATTTATTCCTACCCTGTTTTCTTCGTTTATTTTTAATTCATTTTTATTCCGGATTTTCTGCCTTTAGAATACAAGAACATACTGTTGCAGGTCGCATTTGTAACATTCCTGCATTCTACAAGTCGTTATCTATGCTTATCGTCGTTCAATTTAAACCAAAATATAATGATAGAGAACAAAATCTCCAATTTAAGCTGGTTTTAAACATGAAAGACACATATGATGATGTGCGTGCGTTTTAAATGATGAGTCGACTCCCTCAATGGTCACATACTCCAATAATAAGTTATTGGATAATGTAAACAAGAGTGGCGAAATGATTTCGCTATTGATCAAATTGGTGTCAAATCGCCGATATTGGTGAAATTAATTTCATATATAGCACGATTGTGGCCAGTGTTTAAAAAATTGACTTGTACAAGATGCACATGTGTAAGAGCTTTTTTAACGTGCAAGTACTTTATAAAAAAAAATTTGTGCAAATGTACAAGTAAATTTTTTTAAAAAAAGATGAATAAAATTTATATGGTACATATTTTTTACAAAAACTATTGTACAAGTAAAAAAATTTTTTTTTACTTGCAACTGTGCAAGTGAAAAAAATTTACTTGCAATTGTGTAAGTCATTTTAGTTTTGAATTTTAAACACTGATTGTGACAAATGCGGGTGTGACCAGTGTTAGAGATCTGAAACTTTTTTTTTGTTCTCTGAGAACATAAATTTTAAATTTTAGGTTCTCAGAAAGATTTTTAATGTTCTCAAAAGTTTTTAGATATAATACAATTTACAAATTTTATGTTCTCAAATGAGAACATAATTTTTAAAAATTGTGTTCTCAAAAATATTTTAATGTTCTTGAGAACACTGAGAACATTAGATCTCTAACACTGGGTGTGACTATTGCAGGAGTCGACTGTATCATACTCATAATTTTCTATACGAATTTTTAACTAATTTATTATACGTCTTTTATATTTGTAAAGGTTGCTGAACGTGTTGCTGTACATCTAAGCACAGATCCTTTTAAATTACAGTTTACAACGGCACATCCAACAACTGGCACACACAAAACTGTAGTTAAAAGGACGACTAATCAAATACTATCAGGAATACTTCAAACATCCATTCCAGTTAATCCAGCAAATATTTTGTATTATGAGGTGCTTTGACATTAGTATCGTAGATAGAAACTAAAAATTTCAACCAGAAAGACAATATACTCCCGTATATTTCCTTTTCCATCTCGATGAATTTTGTGTAATAAATAAATACATTAAATGATTTCCTCATCTTAAAAAGATTAGCAATATATGTGCAAAGCGCATATTAAAATATATACTTTTTAAGCTTTGATATGCACTATATTTATTATACAGTTAACCTGCTAATTAACGTTAATGATCAATAAAGATTGAAATTAAATTATACCTTTAATCTCGGCTTATAAGTGGTTAAAGATGTCCAAAACTGTAACTTCGCGATAAGCGTTTGGGAGATTCGCAAAAATGAAAGCATAAATTTACAGTCCTAGATAAGGCCTATATTGTTACGCTTTTTTGAAAAATTCAAAATTTTTTAAAAAAATAACAGGAAATTCAAAAACTAATAATCGTACTGAATAGTGGTCGGATTCCTATTATCAACCCGAAATACTGATTCCTAGATGGCGCAGTTTTGATGTAACTAGATGATTTGCACTGTACCAACTTTAAAAATGGATAAATTCTTACGTTGAAAAGTATATAAAAAGATGATTGTGCTATTTATTTGGGGCCTGGTCTTGATTACGGTCTGATGCCAAATTATACTTACTGATAAAAATTTTCTGCCTTAGAAAGAATACCCTATTCTAAGCTGATTATTTGACTATACAAGCTACCAATGAAGCTTCGGAGCAAGTATCCTCCATAGCAGACCTCACTATGTCAATAAGAAGGAATAGATTAGAAGACGAATTGGTAAGGGCAATTCTACGTTAAAAAAAGGTTGTTTCGAAAGGAATTTGTAAACTGGATAGTTAACCATTTTGCATTTAGTCTAAAGTATTAAATTAGCTTTACATGTAAAATAATGTGATTCTAATACAACTTAAGTTGAAACAAATTTTGTTGTGGTTTGCAAAAGGACGTGACCCATGATTTTTGTGATGATTATCGAGAAAATTTCCGAGATTCTAGATTGTCTAGTAATATATATTCGATCAGTTATACCGGGTGGTGAAAAGAACAGTTAACTTAATGATCGACAATCATTCGATAAACATATAACGTCATTTTAATATTTTAACCAGGGATTATTTTTCACTGTGCGGACTGTGCGCAGCACACAGAAACAAAGTTTTGCGTACACTTTTTATGAATAGATGTCATGGGCAGTGCCAGTGATTTTCTGCGTTGCACGGAATACCGCAGAAATCAGTTTACCAATGGACTGGCCTAAATTATGCTCCTAAACTAACCCTAACCTAACTTAGGCCGAATGATAGTCATGTAATATTGTGATGATCACTGGGTTAACTCTTCTTAAATCTTCCCGGTGAAAAATCTCTAAAAGGACCCTTTTTTAACCACCAAGAATATCATTTTAACGTTTATAATTGCAACCACAGGTCGAAATAAGACAAATCGGGTTCAAATCGGCATCACAAAATACTGATATGAACCCGATTTTAAACAGATATTTGGCGCAAATACGAGACCTATAGGATACAATTCGGATTAATATCGGCTATAGTTGTTAGACGAAACCTCGAGGTTTCGCACTAATGAAAGTCGAAACTGTCGAAAGGTGTCGAAACTGACAAAAGGTGTTGAAACTGTCGAAAGGTGTCGAAACTGGCGAAAGGTGACAAAAGGTAAAGAAACTGATGAAACTACAAAGGTGACAAAACTAATAGAAGATGAAGCAGATAAATGTTATTGAAGATAATATGAATAAAAATAAATTTTGAAAACATAAATAAAAATAAATTTCTAAAACATAAATAAAAATAAATTTCGAAAACATAAAGTTATAATAATTACTAAAATTTTATATGTAATAAACAAGTGTAAGTAAGGCTTTCTACATTTTATGTTCATAAAGGGCTATAGTTGTTAGACGAAACCTTTTTCGCATGATGACGAAAGTCGAAACCCCAAATTCTTCTGACAAAAGATGAAGCCTTAAATTAAATTTAAAATGACGCTCAAAAAGACAAGACCCTAGTGCTCCCTCTAAAAAAGAAAAAAAAATAAAAATAAAAAAAAATAATAATTGTATTTTCATTTAATTAACTTTCATAATTTATTCAAAGATCAGTATTTGAAGTTACATATATGCCAGCAAAAATAAACAAGTTCATTTTATCTAAACAACGGCAGGGTTGTTATAGACTGGTTGAAACAACCTTGTCAAAAAGCCATAGTACTTACTCATGGAATAATACAAATAACAAATTAAAAACATACTGGCACAAAATAAATTTGTAAGATCACAAAGTGATTTCTCACTAGAACTGATACGTAGTGTACTAGTATAATACATTATATAATACTCATTTCTAACTCCCTTTAAACAATTCAAATGCAATAAAATTTTTTGTAATTTTTTATTAGCTTATATTTTTATACACATAATCAATGATTTTTAGCAACATTTATTTGTATATTCGTCTTTATCACCTTTTATCAGTTTCGTCATTTTGTCATTTAAGATTTTAATTGACGAAAGACAAAACTAGGTTTCGTGTTTAATCAGTGCGGAACTTTGAAGTTTTGTTTAACAACTATATAAAGGGCTATATAATTTATACTTAGATTAGTTTTAGTAAGCTTAATAAGCA